TAATATTGCGTTGCACAGAGAGGGCTTCGTAAATAGCGAAACATGCAATACTTTAATAATGTATTCTCAAGATTTTAATTGAGGACGAAAATATCCAGATCACGATAATTTGTAAGTCATAAACGATCGAATGGCCAATAATTAATATAAGAATATAATTTAGCACTCACCGGCACGATGCGCAACAGCGGAGTTGTGATATTACGCCGACCTGTAAAATACAAACGTAAAACCGAAATTATAACAACGTCCGAAATAACAATCAATATTTCAAAAAATAATTACAGCGCGTTTGGAAATTTTTATTCATCTCTCTATTATTAAGTAGAATTATTCGACAATAAACAGTCAATATTTCAAAAAAATAATTGCAGCACGTCCAAAAATGTTTATTCGTCTCTTATTTTAAGCTGTTTCCTTTGATGTTTAATAAAATAATTACATAATTTATCCAGAGAAAGTCTAAAGTGTCTGAACCGTCTAAAGTTTTGTGTATATATATAAAAGATTTTTTCTTCAATTATTACTTAAATCCACTGGCGGATCCTAGGGGAAAGGAGGTTAAGATTAATGATGCAATAGCGCTAATAGCGCACTCCCCGAATGCAGCCTATATCAAACCTGCATGATACTAACCTAACCTAACAAAAATATCAAATCAAATATCTTTGCCGACCCCTCTGACCCCTATTATCGAATTCAAAATTCATTAGTGCTTAAATCGTACTAATAAACAATATGCAAATAAACGGGAATAGAATCAATTTCGCGGCGTAAATAAGAAATTACTCACCTCATGGTTGTTCCGCTGTCGCCCGATGCCTCCTCCCGGGCCTCTTTTTCCTTTCAGAGTTCGTCGTTCGTCGTCGCACTTGTCCATCGCATTCACTCGCGAAAGAGGAGATCGTTGACTACGAGCACGCAGCACTTCTATCGCAACGCACATCATTATATACATGACGTGTCACTCAAAAAAGAATAATCGCGAGAGTAGAATAAGCTACGAATCACTAGATACTCGCGAGACGCGAACGGACGAATCTCAAACGGCGTCCGGCGCCGAAGGGAATACGAAAGTCCCGCAGCCAACTTCACGCATCACTCGCCGCGACTCCTAGGGTGCGTTCCATTTAATGCTCGCAACTCGCAACGCTCGTGGAATCATTTCATCCTTGTTGTTTGTCAAATGTTAAAAAAGGACGAATGATGCTCGCGAGCGTTGTGAGCGTTAAGTGGAACGCACCCCTAATCGCACCTTCGACACTTTCAATGATTTTCAATAATAAATATTCTAATACGCGCAATAAGTGTTTACGATTCGGGACCATCTTGCGTTACAACGCGAGCGAATCAACGTACGGTAGTTTAGGGCCAATTAAAAGCACTTAACATGGCGTAGCGATATACGACGTAGTCCTCGACCTGACAAATCAGAGGATACGCCATAGGTTATGCGTTATTACGTTCACGACTACGACTGTCATACGTGCTTTGGCCTTTTGGCCCAGTCTACAATGAGTCGTATGTCGGAGTCGGATGTCGGAACGTATAGCCGATGGCCCAATGAGAGAATTTCTTTTTCGGAAACAAATTTTCTTCATTAGACCATCGGCTACGTTCCGACATCCGACTCCGGATGTCCGGATAACAATAAGATCGAAGATAAAAACGTTTGCAGAAAGCAACGTCCGCGAATATACCGGTCGATTTGCTACATCTTTTGATCGGAGATATCTTGCGAAATACACATTTCGACGAATCGCCGATGCGCATATCCCGAATTCGAGCTATTAACAAATATCGAAATATCCGGATGACCACGAAATATCAATTACTAATTAAATCCGCGACTAATTGACCGCCGCTCGATTCCGATTCAATCCGTCCCGTGCCTGTGGCGTATAATATGTGTTCCATAAATGATCAAAAAATATAAGGCTCGCTCGGCGGTAACTTTTACACTGTTACCACGAGTTAACGACTAATTAATGCCCGTTTTTATCAACGTCGCGGCGTCGTTCAATTTTAACCTTAGTTTAACTCACTCTTCATTTGTTTCTAAGGGAGACTGTTAGAAAGAGACAAAGAGTGAATTGAACTAAGGTTTAAAGTTAAACGACGTTGGTGAAAACGGGCATAAGACGTAATTAAATATTCGAAAATATAACGATCAAATTTCAACGTCGATTAAGCGATAGCTAAGCACTTCAAAATGAGTAAATGTCGTGAAATATACATGTTATTAGTGCACGTTGATTGCGAGTTTCTTTTATAGCTATAACATATTTAAACTTTACTCAAATTTAACTTATTACATTATCCTATATAATTAACAGTACGAGTTACAATCCCTTCGTGTTCCTATCTACCTATCTAAAGAAAGATTTTATAATATAAAAAAATTATTATTTACTTATTATTTATTATTACACAGAAATAAATTATTTTTTATGAAAATTCCTAGTGTATACTAATACTTTTTACACCCACTGTACATTTAAATTGAAAACGCGACGCGACACATGTGCGACTCCCAGTATCTTTAGACAAGCAACGTTGTCCGTAAACGTCACAATGAAGCGACGATTTTTTTTATGTCTCATCAATTTTTTTATGTCCAATCAATTTTAGACGAGTAAATCACGCGAAATACCTTTCTCGATTAACAGCTTTTGTCTCGATATATACATACTCTTAGGTGCTAATCGCGGGAATTAATTGTAGCAGGCTGATACTCGTAGAGAACGATCGCTTTTCGTGTCTCCTTGATTTTTCGTGTCTCCTCGCGTGTCTCGCTATGCTGCCTAACAGCAGTATAGCGGGGAGCACACACTTCTGCATAACGCAAAATACGTAAGCATAAGAAAACTGATTGGTCTATTTCCTTATGCACATGTGTATGGACCAATCAATTTTCTTATGCTTACGCATTATGCGTTGTGCAGAAGTGTGTGCTCCCCGCTTATGGCTCGAGCATCGACGCAGAAATGGTAGCTGTAGTAGCGCGGCGACCTTTAGTAAACATGCGCGGCGTACACCCGGTACACCGCGATACACCGCGAAAACAAACATTAATGCCGCGTGCCGGTCGATTTGTTATAGTTTTGAAATATTCAATGTAGACTAAATTCGTAGAATAATTTTACTAATATTTGTACTTTTTAAAAGTAATTTTTTAGAGTCCGACCGAAACAATCTTATTTTTAAATTTTGGCCGAAAACGAATATTCGGTTGTGTCAATTTCGGTCGAAACCGAAACCGAAACTTTCATGGAAATTCTATAAAAGCCATATATATACGCGCGCATATATGTACACTTTTTTATATGTTTTATAATTTAATTATTTAAATAATAATTACACATATTATCACAATCCTATTATCACAACCTGAAGTATGTTATATACTATTCGTAGTGTATCACAATTATATTATTTTGATAATAACAAAATTTCTGAACAGAAAATAAAATATTTTTTGAACAAGTCTTTAAAAAATCTATGAAAAATGAACATTTCGGCTACGTCGCCGAAACTCTCTTTCAATTTCATTGCGACACCGTGTATTATCGACAACAAATTTTAATAATTAAATTGTTTAACGCAAATACTTTTAAATGAGCATTTATACGGTTGATTAATATTCGGCTTATTACAATAATTTATTAAATTGGCTGTTTATTTAAAGAGAGAAACTTGACTAAATTATCCAAAGTATTCACTTTTTGATTCTAACGTTTAAAAGAAACGTAGTCAATTAGGATAACGTCTGAGCTGATCCTGTTTTCGGTACGAGCCGGAAGGGAGTTTCTCTCGAAAGCACGATTCTCTATTGCGATGCTAGTACGATCGTCCATCCTAATGTGGCATATGAGCGTGTCGTTGCCACAAACACGAAGCAAACCGCAGCAAAATTAATTGTGTGATTTATATACGCTGCCACCGGCAACATATAATTAATCCCTGTTGCTAGGTATTGTTCGTCGCGAACGAGCGAACGCGCGCGAGAGGACGTCAAAGCAGGCGAGTAAGTGCGATCGATTTGCAATAAATGGCACTTGCCCGCATCGTGCCGCCGCTCGGTCAATTCTACGGTTGATGCTAAATTAACTCAAAATTCAGTAGGCCTCTCCCGTTACCCATTGCCGCGCCGTTTACAGCGCGAAATGATATGTAATTCATCCGTCCGATCTCGACCGACTCGACTCCTTTTTCATCCGGCCGCGCACGGTTCGTTGTTCTGAAAAAAAAGGAGAGAGGGAAAGGGAGAGTTATTAATCTTGATGTTTTTAATGGCATAGTTTTACCGTGACGAAATATCATCACAAAAGACGCCGTCTTGGTAGTTGTGCGATATCGGTATAACGATGAAATATTGCGAACAATATTACGGGAATGACTTGTGTAATTATATAATTTATCTTCCTACCGCTAGACATTTAACGCACTGAAAGTAAAAGAGATATATATTGTGATTATATATATATATATTTAAAAATTTTTAAAGTTACTATTTCTGTTTAAAATTTAAATGATAATTGTAATAATTGTTCCTTATTTATTTATGTAAATAAAAATATATAATACAACTTTTTTCAATGATCATTACAAAATCGCACTTTATTTGTGTTTTTTATTGATATTTGGTAAAATAAGCTAATAAATATCCGATATAAATGGTAATAAAATGATATAATGGTAGCAAATTTACAAATATTAATAAATAATATTCTCCCAAATGAAGGGATTAAAATGTAAAGCGCATTACTTGTTGAAACGTTTTGGCTTAATATGATTTTAAAGTATATCACATGCGCGCCCAAATATTGCATGTATATTTATGATAATATTTTGCACAATACAATCTCAATAACATGAACTTTATAATTGCAGGATTTTGTCGATTATTGCGTACGTAGCGACGGGACATACGCGTATATTTCACAATTTATGGATCATATCCCTGTCATCATAAATAACGACTGTTAATTACGTTTCAGACAAATCGGAGCGATGCGCATCGAGTAGTCCTGAAGGATGTGCAGCCCAATCATACTGGCAAATATCGTTGCGAAGTCTCCGGAGATTCTCCCTCGTTTAATACCGTAATGGTTTCTGGTTACATGCACGTAGCTAGTGAGTATCTGGAGAAACGTATTTTACATCTGAGCAAAGATAACACGACGTGCACCGCGAAGACTGAAAGGCGAAACTCAACGCGTAGCTGAGCAAACATATATCCCTTCCTATGAATTCCGATATGAGTAAATATGAGTAAAAGAGCAAAAGCCCATGCATACTTGTTCATCGTACACGGCATTGATATTTAAAAGTGAAATAAAATGTTGCGATTTTACGCGGAATCATCGTCAAATAATCAATTGCTTATAAGTTAATTAATTGCAAGATTAATTGTGGTAATCGGAGACTGAAATTTTGCCAGAATAATATCACGGCACGTAATATGCCAGGAAAAACATTAAAATATAGAGAGATACGCAAGCACTTAACAGTTGGAAAATGTGACAAAGAAAATATAACGGGTAAAAACCTACATTAAACTTTGTGCAAAAATTTTGCTAAAAATTGTGGCACAAAGTTTAAAGAAAAATTTAATATAAAATGGGTTTTTAATCCTTTCACTTCGTGTTTTTATGATCTACGTCAGGTGGATAAGTGCTTTTCGTAACATCGAATTTTTATTTCATGTCGCACGACATAAATTAAACTCGGTATATTCCTCTCATTCATGCATATTTTTTAGCATTTTTGCGCAATATTTTTCCAACAAGCTTTTCGCGATTTTCCATCGCATTTGTATATACAAACGCAATTGTTATTTTAGAAAAATATTAAACAACCATTTTATTTTTATAACTCAAAGGTTGGTCTCTTGCACCAACATTTATTTAACAAGCCAACAATTTGAAAAACAATTATTGATTACATAAACTATAAAAATTAAATTAATATTTATAAGTTTTTGTGCTAAGAATAGTGACTGGTAAGTTTGAATCTGTTAAAATTTAATTCAAAGGCTTTTTATTTTAAAAAAATTATGAAAGCTGTGCAATTTAAGTATTTTTAGCGTTTCTCGTTGTACCGCGTCAGAAGGAAAATTACAAATTAATGTATGAATTAACTAGTAGCTGCTTACGTTGCGCGTTGGTGCGAGATGACAAAAAGCTGGCGTCATTAGCCTTAATTAGAGATGTGTGAAAATTGTGTATCGTGAATGCGATCTTCCTTAAGAATCGCAGTGAATGCGATATATATCGCATTTCAATTTTTCTTTTATATTTTGAATTGTGCTTAATTTTGTAAACGTATCATAAACGTAATTTTGAATTACGTGCCATTTTATATCGCAAATCTGCAACACTATTTTAAATTTCCTCCGTTATGTAATTTTACGACTTTGAAAATTTGATTATACATTTTGATTGTTTTAAATGGTAAAATTTAAAATTATATTATATAATATAATGGGAGAAATTGTGTTTACGATACAAAATTATGATACAAATTTTTACGAATTAATAAAGAGAAACAAATTTTAAACAGATTGGTTAAACCACGTGTAGTGTTAAAAATAAGCGTATTTATTAATCGGAAACGTACACGGAAAAAAAATTAAGTTGATTTAATTAAATATCGACGTCACGGGCTGCCATAAAGCATAAATAGTTAATTCAATTGGATATTATTGGACTAAATATTTAAATTATTAAGACAATTATCTAATGTTTTTTGTTCATTAATATTGATATTGCATCAATAAATTTTATCTCAATAACACTTGATGCTGTTGATACAAAAAATGATGCTGATGTTGAGGCAACATAATTTTTTTTCCGTGTACATACATACATTTATAACATTTAAATCATTTTGTTTTATCATTTTCTTACATAAATATTTAATGAATAAATACTTTATTATAAGTGCGATTTTAAACTGTATTTGCGATTTTAAATTGCAAGCGCGATTTTATATCCCGTGCGATTTTGCAATTAAAAATCAAATTGCATATTGCATTGCGATTCAGGAAAAAAAATCGCGGTGCCAGCGATAACATCGCAAAATAGCACGTCCCTAGCCTCGATAAGCAGCACGCAATAAACCTGTCCGCGCAAGAGAGAGTTCTCGGATTGGCGATGCTTATTGTATACTTCGTCCACATCCCATCTCGTCCGATACGAGAGGTGAAAAAGCGTGAAAGCCGCCGTTAATTTCGCCATTTGATCCCATTAAAGCGTTAAATGGATATCGTTAATTTATAACTACTATTCCATCGGCTAAACGTTGTTTCGGCGGGCGCGCACGACCGCCTCATATAATTCCCGTTCGTATAACGCGGATAATTGCTGCGACCAATTCGCTACGAGACAGCGGGCTTTTTGCGGCGTACACGTCCTTCGTGTATGAGCGACACCTATTTCGCGCCAGGGCTGCGCGACGCATTGTTAAAATTCAATAAAAACATTTCATCGTCCCGTTCGAGAATAGTTAACAGCTAGCAGGGGAAAAGGGGGAGAGACAAGGGCCCGTGATGAATCGCGGATTCGGTCGTGACCCGTTGAGCTCTTTTTTTCAGCCACGATTTTGTTCCTCGTACGCTACCGGGTACGGGTCTCTGCTCCTCTCTCCTCCGGCATGTCTCTCGCGCGAGCGCATTTAATTCATTACCGTTGATTATCCTACACGGCGACTAGTATTGTCATCGTAATCGCGCCCAATTAAAACGCAGTTAGACAAGAAGAGAGAGAGAGAGAGAGGGGAAGGGAAGAGAGGAAAAGAAAGGGAGACGCGCGACGACGATCGGAGAGGAGCGTCGGAGGTCCCGTTCCCACCGTTCCTCACCGCCGTCATCGTGCGTCGACCTAACGACGCGACAGATCACAAGCACAGCGAAGCACGGTAGCGATCTCCTTCGAAGAGACGAGGTGATTGCCTCCTCTTTCCGATCACGGATCGCTCGTAAAAGCTCGATACCAGATCGAGAGGTTTCGAAACTCGCTTGCGTCCCCCTAGCTCCGTACGTTCCATACCGCTCTCGGTATGCCGAGCACACCGTGTCTCTCTCTCTTTCTCTCTCTCTCTCTCTCCCGTTTCCTCTTTCCCAGTTCTCACGACGCCGGCGATCATCCCGTTCCACGCGACACACGAGTTGAAAATGGTAATATCCCTCGGCCGTGTCCTTGAGAGTAGAGACTCGTAGAGAGAAGATCGCGCAAAGAAGGAGGGGCCCGAGGCGGAAGTCATTGCGGGGAAGTGAGACAATTCCTTGACAGTTTTACCGGCCGCGAGAAGGGATTCCACTGCCTTCTGTGGACGTTATAATGATCCCCCGAGATGTACATGATACGTTATGTGTGTATATACAGGGTGTTTCAAAAGGTTATTCTCAGACTTAAGGAGCGTATAGAGGAGTCAAAATAAAATAGCTTTTGATTAAGAACTTATAACGTTTTCCAAAGTAATCCTAAGTCAGTATAGGCCTTCGAATGTATAACTCGGATAATATACCAATGAAATAATAAATAAATCGTAATTTGCTACTCTTCCACTAGCTTTATTATGTTTGGCCAGGATATATACTTGCTGCATGTGACATATGGTCCGTAAGATACCTGGGATATTTGAGAGAAAGCACCAGAGTTTTGCTCGACGATGCAATGCTTGTATTGAATGTGGAGGTCGCCAATTTGAATACCTTTTGTAATTTCAGTTTGTAAGCTAAAATGTAATCTTTAACAAAGCCTCAATAAAAACATAATAAAGCTAGTGGAAGAGTAGCAAGTTACGATTATTTCATTGGTATATTATCCGAGTTCCATACATTCAAAAGCCTGATGTACTGACAAGATTACATCGGAGAACATATAGGTTTTTAATCGAAAGTTGTTTTATTTTTTACTCCTCTATGTGCTTTTTAAATTTGGCGGTGACATTTTGAAACACCCTGTATATATATCGTGTGTGAGGCTCGAACTTCGCTTAATGACGATGATGTTCGCGGAAATAACATCCGCGCGCGGCGCGCTGACTTATCGCGAGGGCCCGAAAAGGACAATTTTGAATAAAACTATGCGCGTCGCGAACGCGTTTTATATTTATGAAGGCGTATCGCCTCGGGCTTTGTACGGAAACGCTACTTCTAATTTACGGCGGACGCGCATCGCTCTTTCAATTCAATTTCCCGAGATGCGCAACGCGCCGCCGCCGCGCCGCGCCGCGACGATATCCGCCTATAGACGGAAATCCTCTCCCCATTGTTCAGGGATAAAAGTTACATTTTTGTCGCGTCAACCGTATCCCCGGGTGTCACTACAACTACGTGATTCATATAACTACGAAGCAATTAATAAAGTAGTACGATGTATTATACCAGAAAGCGATTGGAAAATACCTCCTCGATATATAGAAATAAAAAGGACTGTTATTTTATATCAATTTTATTTGCGAATTTTATAGCAGATTGTTATAAAGCTGTATACGGATATATAGTTATTTAACCCTAGCTCGCCACACTCCGGTCCAATGGACCGCCGAACGTTTTTCGGTTTTCTAATTTTCACATAATAACATAATTTTCTAGTTTCCTTATAATAGGTTCAGTTTAAAATTAAATTATTTTCTCGACTTGATATTATCATAATATCTTATTCAAAGTCTGTATTTCCAATTTCTACATTACAAGCTTAAAAATATATTAATTAGAATGAAAATAACAATGCAACAATAAGTCGAGCAGTCTCACGGATCGGAGTGTAGCAAATTAAGGATCCGAAAATAAGTGTGGCTAGCCAGGGTTAATAAATATAAAAATTTACTTGTATATATATCCGGACTATCGCATCGTAATGTAAGGTATTCGTCATACTGCTCGGGTCGATTGTCGAGGTCATTAAACAGCGCAAGAAAGTGTCATTCGCGATTTCTGCGTGGCGTGTTCTTCGACACCGCGAACAATGATCCCAGCGTCGAACTATATCGTGGCGCATTCGCGGTGTCAAGGCTGTTTTTATAATCGGTAGCGGAGGCGAAGAAATCAAGACGTAACACAATAGGCGAACGTGTCCGTTACCCGCGACAAAAACCGTAATCCGGGGCACCGCACAATCCGCGTTCAATTGTTGCGCTATAAGATACCTTGGGTTTCAGGTCTGCCGAACGGCCAGCCGCAGCTGCGGGTCGAGAAGCTGCGATACGCGGTGGGCGATACTGTACGTGGAAACTGCACGGTACCGCCGGGAAATCCTCCAGCTAACGTGACGTGGACTGTCAATGGCACACCGGTAGGTGTTTGATAAATGCGTCGATGGATCCCCCTCCTCGATCGTTCTCGCTGACTCATGACAAACTACATAAATATTAATTTAACCCTGTCTTGTTCCCGGATATTGCCGCGAAATTTTTCCGCAGGTTTCATGTCCGCCGAACGATAGTGAAATTTCTCTCCCAGGTAGCAAGATGACGTCTAAAGACGTCTTAATGACGTTTCATTGACGTTAGAGACGTCATTAAGACGTTATCAATACGTCATTTGACGTCACTCTGCTACCTGGGCTGTCTTCCACACGGTTTTGCAGAAAAAAATCCTCTTATCCTCGACTGCTTTTCAATTTAGAAAGATTTAGTCATGTGAACTCATATATCCCGACAAATATGTATTTTTCTTAAAGTTTTCGAAAATTTGCGATGAACATGATCAAATATTTAATTTACAAGTATGATGATAGTTGTAATAAACATTTTTATTTTGAGCTTAGAATGTTAGACATAAATTATATCTAATTATATCACGTGCATAATGTACAAAAATATACATAACATTTTTTTATACTTATTAAACATGCAAGAAAACCAAATATAGATGACATACAGAGTACTAAAAGGAAAAATTCTAAAACAATTCTGAACATTTTTATTTCAGTCATTTGGCACTTTGACATTTCGCGAAGACTTGGAAAATACTGCTTTATTTTTATTAAACTCCATATAGGCCATTTCGCCAAATGTAACAGCAACAACGATTTTAAAGTATATCATTGAACATTTGAGCACTTTACTTCGTGATTTATTGTTTCTGTCTATGCTTGTTATTGCCATTTGTGACAATACTGTCAATTTAAAAAGTTCTTCATGAGTCTGATTCTCTAACTTACTTATTCCATTAACTTTAGCTTCACTTTTATAAACGCACGTTCCAACGTGAAATACATAGTAGCTATCATGCAGACAGTTTTACACGGCGTATAAAAATATTTTGCACCAAAGTTCTTATATTGTCTGAGATTCTGCAATAACTTTCTATAAGATACTTTTTTATTTAATGGGACACGTGTCGCGTGACAAGAAGAAAGAACTAAAAAAATTACGTTAATGTACAATTGTTGTGTGACCTTAGATTACATTATTTTTTTATTTATTTTGGTATTTTATCCGTAACTTTTTAATTGCTATATGATAATTGCAAAACGCAATTCATCTTATGCTTAAATTTTCAGTGGTCATTTAAATGTTCAATTTTTGGAGTTTTGGGTACATATATATTAACAAAATATTAACGATATTAACAAAATAACTTTGTTTGCAACCACTATTTACGTTTGTAAAAAAAGATATATAGAAATAGTATCCTTTACAAGTTGAAACACACAAATTATAATGCCATTATGACATAATTACGTGCTATTTAAATACCAACGGCTTAGACTTAAACACTTTCTCTATTTTTTGCTTCGCGTGCAATGTGGAAATTTAATAGCTCTCAGAAAGCAACGGCAGGAATCCCACCTTTCCATTAAAGAAAATTGCTTATACGTGATCGACTGCATTAAGCGTAAAATATAACATCGCGGACGATCTTCGCGATGACGAGCTCAGCTTGTCAGCTTAAGGGTCTCGAGTCTCTCTCGGAGGAGCAGCGCGTGTTTCTCGTGCGTGTAGTCTGAAAGGTGCAATGAGATACGTGGAAATCTCACGGAAACAACAGGAAGCGCGACATCAATTCATGATGGTATCGTGAACTGAGAAAATCGGTAAAATCGTGTACACATACACACACACGTGCGGTTGTCTGCGAACGCACGAGACGTTCCCGTTATGCGGTGCGGATGTGCACAGAGGCGATTCAGGAAATTCTCTCGCTGATTCTCTTCTGGTGTTTGGCGCGCCTCCCGAACAGCCTCCATTTAATCCGGAACTCTCACTTCGGCATAGCGAGCCAGTAATCTGGGACGCTTTACGAGCATCCTAAGAATCCGATAAACATCATGGTTACAGCCGTATATACGCCGCAAATCATTTACGGCTACCGAGGGAGGCGTGTTACCCGCGTAAACAAGTGGCAGGAAGCAGTAAGGATGCACTGGTACCCCACAGTCGTCCGCCCCACCCCCTTTTCTTCCGCTGGTTTTCTACCCGCCGTTAATACGTCGAAACACGGCTTGCTCAATTACCTATCTGTACTTTCTCGGTTAATTAATTCTTTATGGGATCACCCGCCTTAATGACCTATCGGCAAGACTACGAGCGTTTCGTAAATTGAAATAGCGTTTTCTATACTATTGAACGATTATATTCCGTATGGCGCGCAATAAGAAAGCCGAGTCTCCCTGAAATATAATTGTTAATTTACTTGCAATAAGTACGTAGCTTAATTGCGCGGTAGCTATGTCGTAAAATGAACCAGGCCTCTCGGTGTATATCGCATAAAGCTAATTGATTTTAGAGACTCATAAATCATCATGCCCTTTTAACGCTCTTGCTACGGCTCGAAGAGGGTGCTGAGTCGCGCATATCACCGCCACGTTTCGTTGATAATTGACGAGCGAATGGAAATCGACAGTTTTATAATCTTTGTGTCATCAAGGTGTATCCCTTATGCGCCACTTAGCGAAACGATTTTCGTCTAGATTTTGTATATATACATGAAGAACGGGAAATGTCATTTTGTAGTGCTTATTCGGAATTTTAAAACAAAAATTAAAGAAGACAGTCAAGGGAATATAAAAACAAGATTTTAAGTATAACGCATTTCTTTCGTTGCAGGTGAACTCAAGTTCCATCAAGTTTATCAACGAGACAATTGGCGACAATCAACAGTACAGGACAGTTGCTGAACTGGACTTCGAGACGATGCAGGATAGTTTCAGGAATGGCAGATTACAGATCATTTGTCACGCCAACGTCTTTCATTTATATAAAGAAAAGGCTGAGATATCCCTGAAGGAAGAACGTCCCAGATTGGCCTCCGTACTAGGAACACGGGAATCCTCCTACATTGGTACGAGTTACGCCTTACATTTTCATTATCTTACAAAAGTAAATAAATTGGAAAAGAAAGTTTGTGGAAAAAAAGGTTCATTATTCTTCAACATAATTGATTCAAAAACCAAATTTAAAATACATTTATCGCGATAGCGATGATGATTTTTCCCTTTCAAATAAAATCTCTATATAAGATATATCTTTTAAGTCTCCTAATTTATTTACACGTTGTGTATTTTGTTGTAGGTAGCGCAGCCAAGAGTACCGCAGAATACTTCTACATCGCTGCCGTGACCGCACTGTTACTATGCAGCCTGAGATAACATCAATGAGCTCGCAATACGTTTTACGCGCATGATTGTATCGGGGAACGAAGGGAGTAAATCGTTTGTAAAATTTTGAAATTATTAAATGGGATAAAACTTGGGAAGAAAAAATCTTTTGTTGAAATAAATACCAAGCGTATGTTATTCGTGTAAATAGGATAAAGAAAAAAGATTTAGTGAATTATCTACGTGTACGCGATCTACCTGCCCAGCGCGGGTAGATTTGTAATCCGATAAATAACATGTCGTATTATTATGTAATAGATCGACAAGGTGTCGCGCGCCAAACTACCGACGACTTATTTGAATATTGTACCATCTTTTCTATCCTCTGAATAATGATTTTGATACCTCCTCTGTAACATTGCGGCCGTCGCAATGTGTCCTGTCATGATTATAGGTAAATACTGTTATTGTTTATAAATGACATTTTATTTCAATGAATAAACAATTCGCTTTTGTTAATCTTTAGTACCAATCCGAACCTCCTTTGTCCGCCTTATTTAAACATAGGTACTTAGCAATTAATAAATAGTTTATTAATAAATCACTACTTCGATCTTATGTAAACTTGTTAGTTAAGAAAAATGCTTAGCAAAGAATGTTTTAATTTACTAACAAGTATATATATATATATATATATATAAACATGTATTTCTGTACAGAAATCTATTGTGTAATATTGATTTATCGAATAGACGAAGTTGAATAAATGAAATACGACAGGGTGATATCACAAAACGTATACGCCTTGATTGTACTTAATAAAATCATCTTATTGCTATTACATGGAATCAGTTGCATTCGTATGTAGTAATCTCAAAAAGCCATGGGATTTAATCAAGATTTCCAAATAGATGCAAACGATAACGAATTACTTATGACGAAGTATGAGATAAATTTGTTAATTCAAAAATTTATCGCTTTCCACGTGCGTCCCAGGCTGGAGGTTGAATTCTCGCTTCTATTATATCCATCGTCGCTTCTCTCAACTTGGTCCTTTCAATTCCAACTTGCTGGATTTTCTCCATCTGTTCGGTAACATATTCCACTTTCCTCTTGAAGTAGTCCTTTGCATCCACAACGCTCTTTTCCGCATAATATCCAGTACCAATATCAACAATCACATTATTCGCGTCTGCTAGTTTTCCAGTCACGTACATAGAACCCGTAAGAGGCACTAATATTTCACTGCCTGTAACACAAAGCATGTATCAAGAATGATTCATTACAATAATTCGGATCATTACTGTCGCGTTCAAGAACAATATGTTGCTTATTTCTTCAATATAAATTTATCGAAGCTTATAAGATTTACAAATTGAAAGATTATATCTGCCGCAAGCAATAAAAAGTAGCTAAAGGAAGGAGAAATCGAATTATAGCAGAGAATTATCTCTAACCACGTCATTCCGCTCTCATTGTCAAAGCTGTATTTAACGAGAACGAGCATCTGATTTTTTTTGCATAAGTGGTGGTCACCATTATTAATTGCAGATTGCATATTTTTAATTGTTCTATGATTTAATAGTATTTGAGGAGGACAATATGTATATCTGTACCTTAGAGGTAAAGGATCGTACGTAAATTTTTTGAACATTTCGAGAAAACAAGGTTTAAAGTTTTAAATAGAGAAATATTTTTTTTAGATATAAAATAAAAGTAACAACTTGATTTATTACGCTTTTAATAAAGCATCTTAACTGACATGTTTAATAGTGCAACTGCCAAATTCACGCTGTACCTGGTTTAAAAATTAGGCACTATAAAAATTATCAATACGGACTTTCTAAACATTACATCTTAGAAATTAGTAATAATAAGACATTAGACGCTTCATCATTATTATACAATTTAAGTTCCTGTTATATTGAAAAGTGTATTAACTCCATTTTGACAAAAACTGGAGATACGATCCTTTACCTCTGGCTCGTCTACAATAGCCGTAAAAGTATGGAGTAAGACGTGAGTAGTAAACTATTGACCAACCACAATTAATTATTCTTGAATTGTAATTGTAAAAATCCCATTAGTCAGCAGGTTACTGCTTACGTCTTACTGCATACTGTTGCGGCTATTGCAGACGAGCCATAAGATATAGATACAGATTTACTCAACATTTTCTGAAAAAAAAAAAGAGAAACCAAAGAAATGTTAAAAAATGCAAGAAGCACATTAAAATTATTGTGACGTGAGCTTTATTTTTTCGATACTGGGGTTGTAAGACTCACTCCAGGCATCCGCGTTTCCAGGTTAAGCTTGCATTTATATTTATGCAGTGAGGTTGCGTTTCCTAACCTCAACGAGGAACTTCCGCGAAAAGTTGCGTACGCTTTGAAAAGCGAATTTTCCATGAGCGACTTACCCTCGGTGTTCGGCGTGATCTTTTCAAGGCAAGAGCCCGATTCCTGGAATCTGCTCTGCGCGATCTTCAACGTGTGCAAGGAGTCCTGAAAGACGCCGAGCTCCTGGTCCAGTTGCTGCTTGAACATCGTCAGCTGCTGGAGGTTCAGGTTCGGCAGGGTCGCCAGGCTGATCACCTGCGACTGCGGCGACGACTTCACGGAGGCCTCCTGCGACATCCTGTAGCGCGGAATTCCTGGCGAAAATTGTTCTTGAGAGATACTTTACACCGATCCTCCGGTCGACTTGTGCAAGTTATGCGGCTTGTGCGGACTGCGAGTGCCGTGCTCGCCGATATCGCCAAACACGGACAACCGGGACAACGGCAGCGCGCAGCGTCCGGGTCTCAGCTTGTTGAAATAAGCACCAAGCGGCACCACCATGCAAGCGTGACGAGCCCGTCATCTCCAGTCATCTCCAACGACTCCAACGACCAACGACTCCAGCCATCTCGCGAAGCGGCAGACATCCGGCAACGAAACGTGAGCATTTGCGAATTTTTTGTTTATTATTTAAATATCATCTCGTATCTGTCATTATCTCTTATACTGTATTGTTTCTTACTGATTACATTACACGTGAGAATAATGAATACTTAAATAGAATTTGCGACGATCGTTACCGTCGAGATATCGTTACCTTTCGTGGAAACCTTATCAACGGTGATATTTGAGCACGTCGATATAACCCTCTAATGACAAAGTGGTTTTCCAGAACGTTACGTAATATAATTATAATATTTAATCAAAATGTAGTATAAAATGGGTGAAAAAAAAATAAATAATAACATAAAACTTCTTCCTCTGTTTATTTATATGAAAAAGAATACAATAAAGTTTATTTCCAACCCTGGTGGAAAAATGTCTCAGAATTTTTCATATTATTTTATAATCAAAATTTCTATAAAAATTTTTAGACTTTCTCAGAATGCTCAGAATTTTTCAGATTTTTTTCTACGAATTGGAATGTTTTTAAGAAAAACTCAAGCAAAATAATAATAAAATATTCCAGATTTTTCCCGCCAACACATTTTTGTAAAAATTTAAGTAAATATATATGAGAAAATCTGTGATATTTATCAGAAATTTTCATACTGAAATATACCGAAAATCCTCATCCAATTAGTTCTGAAAGTATCTGAGAATAAATTATATATATATATATATATATATATATATATATTTCAGAATTTTTCACAAGTCTCAATTCTTATAAAATTATCGCATTCGACCCCAACCTTTCCATTAGAGGGTTAATATCGCGATTTATCCTGCGCGGTTGACTCGGGCAACTGCTGCGTTTTAAAAACGAGATCAAGTATGGTTTATCATTTATAATAGACACAGTGTTTATTATGCAAATAATTTATATTGCAAATTTGTCATATTTTATTTTAAAAGAGGAACCTTTAAAACAACAATCGTGACGTGAAATCTGTATTTTTGTCTTTTGGTACGAAATATCTAACGAAGAAATCAATATTCGTACACAAGAGACTCTTTTCCTTACGAGAAACTGAGCAGCTGAGGTTTTCTTCGCAGAAACATCATAATTAGATATACCTGTAACGTGATTAATTCACAGCTATTTTTGCACGTTCATTAAAGTTTAATTTAATTGACTTTTTTTTATCTCCTTCTGAGAACTCTGAATTTTAAACTTGATAAGTAATTAAAAGTTAATTTACATCTTTTCATTTTATTCTCTAACTCTTTTCTAAACAAAAATGATTAAATGAGAAAAATCTTGGATGCGCGAGATCAAACATTTTTGTAATTATATGTCCCAATGCAGTTTTATATAACCACTGTAATATACAAATAATATGGAATTGTTGTAATTTATAATGGCATTGTAAAGAATTGATTTACATAGCGAGTGATAAGCAAACGCAGATTACAAATATAAATTAATTTAGCTGCACATTTTTATGAATTATTATACACAAGGATTTGCACGTTTAATAAGAGAAATACAGACATTTCAAAAAAATGTGTTCTGGAGTTTATTCATAACGATGTTGGTGTAGACTTCACAAGACAGTACTTCAAAGGACATTCATGTTTTTTGATGCAAAAACATAGATTTAAATCTGTCGAAACTAAATTTTTGAGATAAAACGTGTAGTTTCAAAGCTGTTTTATATACACGTTGAATCCTTTCATTTCTTCAATCGTCGTATTTATTGATTAGAGATAGGGGAGGATAGGTGTTTTTTTATAGACAGTGGAGGAGAATTATCTGCACGCAATGAAACTACAGCGTCTATCAAGTTTGAAATCGAGAACGAACAAAACATAATTACGCACGTCGATGCAGAAATTTCTGGTTTTAAGTTACACTTACACTATTACTATTGACGTTGTTTGTAAAAGTTACGAAAATAGGAAGCGCAAAAATTGCTATACGCGTCAGTTGCAGCAAAGCTATGGATTCTAATGGCGATAATTTTTTTGTATCTACTAGTTATTTTATTTTCTAAAGAGGCATGTAAAGTCAATACGCGTATTTAAATATGTTATTTCTTTTGTTAATTATTGTAATGCGTCGCTTTAATGTATGCTTTATGTGTCGAGCGCATTTAATATGGTTTGTAGCTTCTCGTCATTTCGATACGCTCGGTACAAAGTTCATTTTTCGCTCACACGATAGTAGTGAATGTCAGAAGTTTCGGGTTTACTCATTCGATGTTAATAAGACTGTATATGACGTATCTTGAAGACATTACGTATGCATCGCTTAAAAAATCCAAAGCAGAATTAATATTTATGCCCCAGACTACTGTTTCATGTATTTTGCCATCTGCATTTTGTCTTCTGTCTTAATTTGTATTTATAATGAAGAAAACAAATCCACACAGAAAAATAAAATGCAAAAAAAAATAGAGCATTAACAACGACATATTTGCATATAAACAATTAATTAATTTCTTTTATATTAATTTTAATATTAATAGAAATGTTATGCAATAATTTATTTATAAAAGCATAAGCTCTCAACGATCAATAAAATAGAATCTTCCCGATTGTCATGTACTTTCAAGTTACGTAGTAAGAAGGTACTATATACAGAACAAAGGTGTGTTACGTACATTGGACAAAGCGTCTCAAGATCGAACATGAATAGAGAATGCATCGAGTTTTTGAAATTCCTGCTTAAAGAATCAGTGATGCGATGGCAAGCACGTACCTACGCACGAAAAATGCTGCACGAGCATTCAGTCTAAGGGTCACTTCGACCAACGTCGATTTAACTTTAATCGACGATTAACTCAATCAGCAGTGTCGCCAACAGCAAGATATTTGTCGTTGTGTATGTCGTTCTTGACCAATCTTTTCAAAATTATATACCACTTCTCTTTAATTTGAATAAAGCTGTTTTGATTTTTATTTAAAATATCTAAAATAGAAGTAAATTGGCATTTCAATATATATAATTTTACCCTCGTTTATTAATTATTATATTAAATTATTATATTATCAAATTTATTTTTAAAATTTTATTACTCGAAAAGCTTTTTACAATTTTACATAACACAAAGTACTTTAATAATGTATTATTACTAGTATATAATTTTGTTTAATTAATCTGTATTTAACAAAGATAAACGACTCATAAACTCAACTTATTTAAGAAAGCAGTCTGGAATGCGTAAACATGAGTTTTCACGATACAGGAATTTTTAAATATTTTGTAGAAATATTATAATTAGGATATTAATTGTACATGTTTTTGAATTCATGCATAAAACTTGAATCTTGAAAAATGGTATTATTTAATGTATTTTTTATTCAAAATCTCACCAGTGTTGGCAAAGTTAAGTGCTTTCTCTGTAAAAGTATTAGGCGGAAGCCTTTATTTATTGAAACTCTCGAGACTGAGTTGAAGAAGCTTTCATGAAAACAATATCACTTTATCAATCCCGTAGAGATTAAAAGTATCTATACACAGAATGAGGCAGATAACTTTATTATTTTTAATTTTCTGTTTGTTCGGCTTTTAAATAGAATATAACTTTAATGCAACTGTAAATGTCATATAAGAATTAGTTTTTTGAGATTTTAATGAAGGTATCAAAATATGAACATAATATTCGAAATGTTTTTTAAATATATATTTTTACATAATTATTTATAATATTTATAATATCTCTATGAAGAGTTTACACATGAGAACTGTTTCTGATAAGCGTGAAATACAGTATAGACTATAATAGGCTATATCAATCAGCACGTATATGCGGTATATGAAATCGACATGTAACATTGCATGCATTTAAGCGAGCTATACATATTCAGATTGCTAATTAATTAAATCGAAATCCAACGATTTAACATGGATATATATTAGATAGATTTATCGTAATGAGCTCTATCACGCTTTGAAAGTGCTAATGCATGAATGATGTAAATCTTTGGCGCTTTTGTCCAATGACTTAAACAATGGTTTAAAACACTTCCATTTTCGGAAAAGTAAAGCAATCGGTTTGAAACTAAAAGCTATAGGAGTCTGCAGTTAATTGCAGCTCGAGCTTTTTTCTCTCCTTTATTCATTTTTTATTGACGTTTATTTTTTAGCCGCAATTATCGATTCAATAATGTTTTCACTATAGAGAACCTCATACATATGTTATTCTTTCAGATTTTTCTATAAAATATGAAGATTTAAAAGCTGTTTTTATCAAGCGTTGCACATTTTAAAATGTTGAATTTATAAATTATGTTTTCAAGTAACATTTAATTGATAGTAAAGTAAGCTTCAATTTTTTTTTAATTTTTTATATATTATTTTAGTTATTATTTTCTTTAACAGAAATTGTCTTCTATCCGATTTTACATCATTATAAAGTTTTAACAAATTTATCTTCCTGCTATTTTACAGAATCCAAAATGTGTGCCTATTGGACACTTTTTGTCTATATAATTTTTTACTGCAATTTTTTACGTATTTATATTATACCTAATGATAAAAATATTTGTGGGGAAATATATAAAAGGATTTTTGGTCACATGTTATCAACTTCTGTTTGCGACTTCGTTCTAATAAAGAAAGCAGTATAAAATCGGAACAAAAGGGTCCAAGGGATACCGAAGGGATTGCACCCTTTCGTGGTATCATCACGGACATGTTTCGCTGAGACTCTAAAAATATATTAAAGAAACAGATCAAGTTCAAGATCAGCATCAGAATTCCGATTGAAGGACTGTATCACATTTGACTTTTTTTGACTTTATTAATTGCTGTTTTTTTTTTTTTAATTTTTTTAAATGTCAGTAAAGTAACATTATTTGAAATGTTT